GACCACGTATGACCAGTAAGGTTATAGAGATGTTCTTATTTTCAAGATGCTACTTGAAGATAATTAATCCGTAAGCAGTTCACTTTAAATGTGAAGGGGAGGGAAGCTGAAAAGTCTTGGACCATTTATATTTAACCAGTAATATTTTTAATAAGGCTATAGGAGAAAAAGACTAGGGAAGATATGACATATAAAAAATATTCATAACTATCACGCACTGTCTCCATCTCTAATAAAGTTATATCAGAGGTGCAGATCTTGAGCCAGCCTCTCTCAGTACTTTTCCAGAAGTACATTACGCTATATATATATATATATCGTAGCCTGTGCTCCAGAAGATAAACAGGTTAGGTATCATAGGCATTTCCAATAATTTAGGTGCTTGACTAAACAAATTTAAATTATTTGGCGAACATATACTCAGGCAAAAGAATTGAAAAGACTAACAAATTCATATTAATTCTCAATAATTTGCAAGTGTCTTGTACGAGGCTAACTTAACATAATACAAACACTTCAGTTGATCAAGAAGGAAATGTGGCAACAGTAGTAGCACCTTGTAGTATGTTGTACCCTTGCTAGCAACTTTCACTCTGACAGTTCATTAAATCTGCACGCAAGCTATTGTTTAAAAAACAAGTAAGAGTGGATGCCCCCCCACACAATATATATATATATATATATATATATATATATATATATATATATATTTATATATATATATATATATATATATATATATATAAATCCTTCAGCAGTCTCAATGATACATTATTCTCGTTTACTCATTTAAATAATATTAATATTTCTATATCTGGTTTTTTTTTCTAAAGTTTAATCTTAAGCAAAACGCTTATTTTTTTATTTACAATAATTTTAACGTGTCATTCTAATTACAACTATTGTATGTGTATTTGTATGTTTCACGCTGTTACTTAGTCGGGCTAATTAATAGTGAAAGAGGCCATTTACGAGGCCTGGTCACAGACCGGGCCGCGGGGGCGGTGACCCCCGAAGCCCTCTCCAGGTATACTAGTACAGTAATCCAACTTATGCTATCAACTAAGTAATCAGATTACTCAAATAATAAAAGCCATGTGTATATACGAGTATACTGACATTCAGAAACAAGGGTGTTTCTCAAGGTATACACACTGAGAGTTTACCTTAATCTCTGTTTTAGGCACTAAGATATTATTAATGACGGTATTCAGATAAATTTCAGCTTTAATGATCAATCTGGTGACTAAACTTGGAGAGGAGAGAGAAATCCTCTCCCTCCCCATGTGTAAAGGTGACACAACATGGCGTTAAGTTAGCATTATAAAACCTTGCCTGGCAACTCTGCCACCTATCCAGTTCCCCCGGAATCTTAAATTTCATAAAAAAATCTTTTATGTCCTTAAATTTGGGCCACGAGCTTCATGCAATGCTCCAATATTTTCCTGATTTAAAATATATAATTTACTGTACAAAGTCAAATGAGTGCAGGTGGCGTGTTAACTTGTTGCAGAAATACCAGCCAAGTTCCAATTTAAGAAATATTTTTAAATTTAGTAAGATTTTTGCTTTGCATATGGCCTGTATGTCAAAGAGTCCCTTATCTGCACGGAGTTGCTGAACACCACAAATGAGGTAGTTGAAGTTCTATCAATAAAGATCGAGAACCAAAACCTAGTCATTGTGGTTGTATACAAGCCACCAGATGCAACCTCCCAACAGTTCAAGGAACAGCTACTGAAAATCGATTACTGTTTGGAAAACCTTCCAGCTCCATCCCCAAACATCTTACTGCTTGGTGATTTCAACCTAAGGCATACAAAATGGAAGAATGTAGCAAATAATGTTATAGCTGAAACAATCCCCGGAGGTAGCGCAGATGAAAGGTCACACACACATGAGCTACTAAGTCTCTGCGAAAAACACACCTTAAGCCAGCAGATAGTGGAGCCAACAAGACTAGAAAACACACTTGACCTTATCTTTACAAATAATGAGGACCTGATAAGAGACATAAGAATATCAAAAACAACTAATTCCAATCACAATCTAATCGAAGTCCAGACGTACATGCATAGGGGTCTGAACAGCAGAATGCATGTACCTGTGAAGGTGTCTTCACAAAATACAATTTCAACAACAAGAACATCAACTGGGACCAGGTAAACCATGTCCTAAACGAAACATGTTGGGAAGATGTCTTAAATGACATGGATCCAAACCAGTGCCTTGAAAGGATCAACTTCCTGGTAGCCGAAGCATGTTCTAGGCATATTCCCCTAAGAAAGAAGAAGAGCAGGAGTAAACTGGAGAGAAAAAGACGCTCCCTCTACAGAAGACGACGAAGAGTCACTGAGCTCCTCAGGAGTGCTAGAATATCTGATACACGAAAGGAGGCGCTGACCAGGGAAGTGGAAACTATCGAACTTAAGCTAAATGACTCTTACAGGAACCAGGAGAGGCAGGAGGAGCTTAAAGCTATTAGTGAAATTGAAAGAAATTCAAAATATTTCTTTTCATATGCCAAAAACAAGGCAAATACCACATCTAGTATCGGGTCCTTACTCAGACAGGATGGGACTTACACAGACGACAACAAGGAAATGAGTGAAATATTGAAATCCCAGTACGACTGTGTTTAGTGAACCACTAATCGGTCTGAGGATCGACGACCCAAATGATTTCTTCATGAATGAGCCTCAAAACTCCATAAATGTATGCCAGATTTCCGACATTACCCTAACTCCGATAGATTTCGAAAAAGCCATTGACAACATGCCTATGCACTCAGCCCCGGGCCCAGACTCGTGGAACTCTGTTTTCATTAAGAACTGCAAGAAACCCCTCTCGTGTGCCCTAAGTACACTATGGAGGAGGAGCTTGGACATGGGTGAAATTCCACAGTCACTTAAAACAACGGATATAGCCCCACTCCATAAAGGTGGCAGCAAAGCATTAGCTAAGAACTATAGACCAATAGCTCTGACGTCCCACATCATAAAAATCTTTGAAAGAGTGCTAAGAAGCAGGATTGCAAATCACCTGGATTCCCAAAATCTGCACAATCCAGGGCAACATGGGTTCAGGGCAGGTCGCTCCTGCCTCTCAACTACTGAATCACTATGACATGGCCTTGGATGCACTGGAAGAAAATCAGAATGCAGATGTAATATACACAGACTTTGCAAAAGCATTTGACAAATGCGATCATGGCGTAATAGCCCATAAAATACGTGCTAAAGGAATAACTGGGAAAGTGGGGAGATGGATCTTCAACTTCCTAACAAATCGAACACAAAGAGTAGTGGTCAACAGAGTTAAATCGGAGGCTGCCATAGTGAAGAGCTCTGTTCCACAAGGCACAGTACTCGCCCCCATCTTATTCCTTATCCTCATATCAGACATAAACAGAGATATACACCACAGCACCGTATCATTCTTTGCGGATGATACTAGGATCTGCATGAGGCTGTCTGCTGAGGACGCGGTTAACCTCCAAGAAGATATAAACAAAGTTTTCCAGTGGGCAACGGTAAACAATATGATGTTCAATGAGGACAAATTCCAACTACTCCGTTATGGAAAACTGGAGGAGATAATAACTAGAACAGAGTATACTACTGACTCCGGCCATACAATTGAGCGGAAAAATAATGTAAGGGACCTGGGAGTAGTAATGTCTGAGGATCTCACTTTCAAGGATCACAACAGTGCCACGATCGCACGTGCAAAGAAAATGATAGGATGGATAATGAGAACTTTCAAAACGAGAGATGCCAAGCCCATGATGATCCTTTTCAAATCACTTGTTCTCTCTAGGCTGGAATACTGCTGTACATTAACATCTCCATTCAAAGCAGGTGAAATCGCAGATCTAGAGAGTGTACAGAGATCCTTTACTGCACGTATAAGTTCTGTCAAGCACCTTAACTACTGGAAACGCTTGGAAGCACTTGACTTGTACTCGTTGGAACGCAGGAGGGAGAGATATATCATAATCTACACTTGGAAAATCTTGGAAGGAATGGTCCCAAATCTGCACACAGAAATCACTCCCTACGAAAGTAAAAGACTGGGCAGGCGATGCAAAATGCCGCCAATAAAAAGTAGGGGCGCCATTGGTACACTAAGAGAAAACACCATAAGTGTCCGGGGCCCAAAACTGTTCAACAGCCTCCCATCAAGCATTAGGGGAATTGCCAATAAACCCCTGGCTGCCTTCAAGAGAGAGCTGGACAGATACCTAAAGTCAGTGCCGGATCAGCCGGGCTGTGGCTCGTACGTTAGACTGCGTGCGGCCAGCAGTAACAGCCTAGTTGATCAGGCCTTGATCCATCGGGAGGCCTGGTCATGGACCGGGCCGCGGGGGCGTTGATCCCCGGAATAACCTCCAGGTAACCAGGTAATAAATTATTTAGTTAAATATTTATATATTACGATGAGTAGTCATAACTGGACAAGTATCTTCATCAGGTGCCAGATCGACCAGGCTGTGATAGGTATGTGAGGCAGCGGGCCACCAGCAGCAACAGCCTGGTTGATCAGGCTATAATCAAACGAGCCTGACCCATGGCCGGGTTCCGGGAGTAGAAAGACACTCGGAACTCATCAAAGGTTAAGGTATACACTTAGTTCCTGCTTAGCGTCACTTTTGACAATTAGGGCATAAGAAAACATCAATTAAAACATGCTTGAGTACATTCTGAATTTTATATTTCACTTGTGGTTAAGTAACATAATTACTAGTGACAAAGATAGTCTTGTTCTTAATGTATTATATCTTGTAATTTTGTATTCCAGACAACACTGATGAGTTACACTGTCAGAAATATATGTTAACTCAACCATGTGTGTGGCCACAACACAAGGGATCACTTACACTGTTCCATTTTAGTGTATTATAACGGCAGGTCGTCCTCACCATGTATTAATTATTATTATTATAATCAAAAAGAAGCGCTAAGCCACAAGGACTATACAGCGCTGCTCCATGTATTAAGAGATACACTTTACCCTCCCCTGTATGTAATATAATTCCTGGCTGTTAGTTATATATAACTTTACAATAATTAAGGTTAAGTAACCTACCCAAAAATAAACAGTATTTAATTCTGTAAGTTTCTTACAAGATCGTTCAGAAACTGACGCACTCCAGCTAGTTTGAAATCGACCTGGTCATGGACCGGGCTGCGAGGGCGTTGACCCCCGGAATACCCTCCAGGTAGACAGGTAGATGTATTTCGTGAGTGGGGATGCGGCATTTTACAAGGTGTCTCGAGAGTCGGGGAAAATTAAAAAAAAAAAACTGATATAATAATGACATTTATTTACAGAAGTGTCGGATGTCCCGTAGCTCGGTTGGTAGCGCACTCAGCTCACACACTGAGGTCCGTGGTTCGATCCCCGGGATGAGTGGAAACATTAGGGCGTGGCGTGTTTCCTTAAGACACCTGCTGTCCTTGTTTACCTAGAAGTAGGTACCTGAGTGTTAGTCGACTGGTGTGGGTTGCATCTTGGAAACAAAATTAACCTAAGTTGCCCGACATGCTTTGCATAACCAGGGGCTTTCTATACAGTGTATCACTGATGTCAGCTATGGTCTGTATAAGTTGTATCATGTACTCGTAGAAATAAAGATTATTATTCAATGTGTGTAGAGTACGTGGTGGTAGTTCCTCAATCGTGTGTATATATAGTGTTTGTGCTTTACCACAGGAGCTACAGGTGCAAACAACGCAAGAGGAACACTAATACAGTTATAAAGCTGTGGCTCAAAGGGATACCGATGATCGCACATGTGTGAAGTGTTGTCTTTGAAATTGCAGCTTCGCCCACTGACTGAGGTTTTGAAGGAGGGGGTAAGATTAATGAATTTAGTCAAAAATATTTTATTCGTGTACATAATCTGTGGAATTTACCGGCATTTCAACATGATTACAGGTGTTAATCACTTTCCTTATGGCGGGGGTTCTCAACCTTTTCTATGTCCCGTATTCCTAGGAAATGTTTGATCAATGTTGCACCCTACAAAAGTAATATATCACATCTGAAGATGAAAAAGTCAAATTTCTAATTTTTGAATTACAAAATGAACCAAATACAGTATTGCTGGTGAACAAATTGAACTCAACAAATAAGCTTTTAATTCAGTGCATAAAATGCAAATATAAACTGAGCAATTGGAAAAGTTTTTGGTAATATAAAGGGAATTGTGCTTTTCATTATGACTGTCGCACCCCCTGAAATACCATCTCGCACCCCCCTGAAATACCATCTCGCACCCCCCTGAAATACCATCTCGCACCCCCCTGAAATGCCATCTCGCACCCTCCCCTTGAAATGCCATATCGCACTCCCCTGAAATGCCATCTCACACCCCCTGGGGTGCGTGCACCCCTGGTTGGGAACCCCTGCCTTACGGAACATATAATTTCCCATGGTATCTCCAATGATTATTATTTAACAGGTTAAGGCCCTAAGGATTGAAATACGGCAACTTTACTATTATTATATTCACTTGGGAAGTCCTAATGAGCCAGCCAACTATCTACCATGACTGCCGCTCTCGTAGCAGTGATTTTAATATTCCAATTTGGAGCCGGTTCCTCTTAATATTTTTCACGTGTGAATTGCGATACGCTCGTCGCCTGCGCTCCGGGGAATACACTATGAGGGATTGTAGACATTCTCAATAATTTAGCTGGACAGAAATGTTGACAGGTTCTTGGTACATTATCCAGATCTGAACCTTTCATGCGCGGTTCCTTGACGTTTGCTTTATACCTTTGATATGTTTCGAGAGTTTCCTGATCCTGCAGCCCAGCCCTGGGCCAAGCTTATCTGACTAACAAGGCTCTTGCTCCTGGCATCTATCTGGTGCAGGGCTCTTGATTCCAGCAAAGTACTTACCTTCCTCTGCCTCAGCTTAAACTTAATTACCTCCCATTCCCTAGTCAGTGTATAACCCTTATGGGTTTAGGACTTCCCCCGTGAATAATAATCCATATAGGTAATTACGTCGGCTTTAAATGAGGCTGTTAGTACACAGTAATATTCCCGTCTAAGAGAGTACAAGTCTGTGACATGGAAATTGTTTTCAAATTTCCTTTTTTTCCAGCCTACACTTTTACTTGTGCTTGTAATATTAAGAAGTCATTTTTGGTACATTAAAAAAATATGGTATACTAATACTGTTTTTTGAACATGTGAGCGTTCAACATGGTTAACCTTAAGTATCTTGAAATATTCTGCTACTCTAACTAGTGACTTGACTGTATTTTATATTATATTCCAGTTTTTAGTTAATTTTTTTTCCATAACGAAGCAGATGAAATTTTTCCTCGATCAACATCACGTTAGCCTTGGTTTACATAGGCTTGAAAGACTAAAAATTTGCAATACCGTGACTGGAACAACTCGCCAAAAACTCGCACTCATTATTAATTTTTGGTGAATAGGTTTGAAGGCTTACAGTGTCCTTTATGGACGCCACTCTCGTACAAATTATAGTATCATATACAAAGAATGATACTGCTGTTATCTACCTATGACATATGTGAATGCGAGAAATATTGAAGAGTAGGGCCTTGGGCAGAACTGTGCACCCTAGACGCGTACAATTTCCCTTGATCTGAAAAAAAATATATATATAAATAGCTTTTGCTATTGAAGAAATATTTTCCTCTGCAATGGTGATTAAGATACTGTTTACCACACTAAGGTTATCATGCTAATAACCACAACCTAACTGAACACGGCAACAAATTCTCAACAGAGACGAACAATGCCAATTTATTCTTTCAAGTGCTTATCTTCAATACGAAGTTATTATATGCTATTAATTAACGGGATGAAGGGAAAAATAATAAAGCAGACATAAAATTTAGATAAATATTCTTCCAAAATATATTTTTTGAACATGTAAAAGTTTTCATACCATCCTCATTAAACCAATTACCAGGCGACCTGAACCAGCGCAGCTGGAGCCTGGAGAGCAAACATGAATCACAAACAAGGCTCGACTTTCTCCCGTGCCTGCCAATACCCCTCTACCATTAATTTAGCCTTACCCCTTTCCACACATGGTATATACACTGAGGTGAGGGCATCTCAGCACAGGATATACACACTAAGAGGTGTACTGGTATAATGTTTATCAGGAAACAGGCCTAGTGTTTCCTGACGCGGGTCTTAGTCATATGATGGTCCACAGCTGGAGCTTTTAGCCATTTGACCGAGGACTTCTGCTGGCTTACCGGTACACGTCTTTGAAAAAAAATCATGGTTATGATTATAACCATTAAGGTATGATTACTGAGTGATGTATGTCTCTGGGTGTATACATACTAAGACCTTCATCCCTATTTTAGGGATTAAGGTACTCTGGACTGATGGTGTACAACCCTCGCGTGGTCCATCTGCTTTGAACTTTATTTACCAACCAGCCCTGATCGGCTTAAACCTAACAAACTCTCCACCCACCATCATTACCCAAGTACTCGAATATCGTCTGTTATGTGGAGCAAACTTGCGCTTGCCTTCCTCCCTACCTATATAATGTACTTTCCTACGTCCCTGCCTGCCTGTGCTTCTCATCCTGTCTTACATCAACTCTCGTTGATTCAATAAGATCTTAACTGGATAGTAGAAAATACACTGCTAATTTGAATGGGATCTCGAGCTGCGTTCAATTTAAATGCTGATTTATCACAGGAGCTGAGCTTTGTATGGCTGTATGTGTGTAACTTGTATAACTGTGTATCTGAAGTTACTGTGTATAACTGTGTAGTTGAAGTTTCTGTATATAACTTATCTAAAGTTACTGTGTATAACGGTGTAGTCGAAGTTACTGTACATAACTGTATCTGAAGTTACTGTGTATAACTGTATATGAAGTTACTCTGCATAGCTGTGTATCTCAAGTTACTGTATCTGAGGTTACTGTGTGTAATTTTGTATCTGAGGTTACTGTGCACTGCTGTATATCTATAGTGTATAGCTATGTATCTGAAGTTGCTGAGTTCAGCTATATGGATCTGTTACCATGTATAACTCAGAATGTGAAACGTTCCTGTGTCTATTTAGCTAAATATTCCAAGTGCTTCTCGTATACTAGTACATTTCAACTTAATATTGTATAACTTCACGCACATACACGAGCACACATACACACCGAGTCTCGACCCCTGCAACCACAATTAGGCGAGTACACACACACACACACACACACACACACACACACACACACACACACACACACACACACACACACACACACACAAAGTGATACTGTTTCTTAGTTGTAGTCAGGAGGGTCGAGTCACCGGGTTCCCGCCTCTCAACCTTACACGACTGGTTTTAAAGTGTCCCTAGTCATGGACTATGTCATATCTATCCTTAAAACTGTGTACTGTGTTTCTTGATATAAGAATTTTAGCTATTCTCGCGGCGTTGAGTCAAATCTGGTTATCTTTCATTCCCCGGACGCTGTATTATCTTTACGGGTTTAGCACTTGTCCATTATTATTATTACTATCGTGCATATAGTGTTTTTCCCACCACCTTAATATAAATCATTCAGTTAAAGAAGTACTTCCGAACATCATTTGTGTGTGAGACAGGTGAGCTGAGGAACTGACGGTGTGGTAAAAGATAAGAAGATAAAAACGAATAACAGAGGACATTGTGCTGAATAGAGGACATAGGAATGATAAAAGATGGCGAACATTGAAGAACTGATAAAACAGAGAAGGGAGACGATGAAAGGACAACAGAGAAGCGAATGAATAATGACTGGTCGAGAATAAAAGGGGTGATGAATGGGATAGAATACGCGAGAAACAGTGAGAGGCGAGGAAAGACATGACTGAAGTATCAATATAAGGCAGGGAGATAACCATGAAGAAAAAGACAATACCAAATGGTAAACTAATTTCAATTTTAATTTCATAATGGGGAAAGCGCTAAATAAGTAGGTCTTGTAGTGGCTGGGAAATGAGAGGCATACAAGTTTGATCCGAGGAAGGTGAGTAATAGTTCAATACCTTGGATCAAGAGCCCCTCATCAGCATCAGAGCACTTTTGAGGAAACAAATGTGCAGGAACACCTGCATACAGAAGCACACTAGGCTGAGCATTACTTGTAAGATGCACACTAGGCTGAGCATTACTTGTAAGATGCACACTAGGCTGAGCATTACTTGTAAGATGCACACTAGGCTGAACATTACTTGTAAGATGCACACTAGGCTGAGCATTACTTGTAAGATGCACACTAGGCTGAGCATTACTTGTAAGATGCACACTAGGCTGAGCATTACTTGTAAGATGCACACTAGGCTGAGCATTACTTGTAAGATGCACACTAGGCTGAGCATTACTTGTAAGATGCACACTAGGCTGAGCATTACTTGTAAGATGCACACTAGGCTGAGCATTACTTGTAAGATGCACACTAGGCTGAGCATTACTTGTAAGATGCACACTAGGCTGAGCATTACTTGTAAGATGCACACTAGGCTGAGCATTACTTGTAAGATGCACACTAGGCTGAGCATTACTTGTAAGATGCACACTAGGCTGAGCATTACTTGTAAGATGCACACTAGGCTGAGCATTACTTGTAAGATGCACACTAGGCTGAGCATTACTTGTAAGATGCACACTAGGCTGAGCATTACTTGTAAGATGCACACTAGGCTGAGCATTACTTGTAAGATGCACACTAGGCTGAGCATTACTTGTAAGATGCACACTAGGCTGAGCATTACTTGTAAGATGCACACTAGGCTGAGCATTACTTGTAAGATGCACACTAGGCTGAGCATTACTTGTAAGATGCACACTAGGCTGAGCATTACTTGTAAGATGCACACTAGGCTGAGCATTACTTGTAAGATGCACACTAGGCTGAGCATTACTTGTAAGATGCACACTAGGCTGAGCATTACTTGTAAGATGCACACTAGGCTGAGCATTACTTGTAAGAGTAACAAGAAGAGTTAATAAATGTTTCGTCATCATGCATCGATTTTATATCCCTATGTCTGTCTCCACTTTTTTTGTGAGGCCTATTTCTCCCTCTAAAATTTCCACCAAATTTGCCTGCCACTTTTTTTTTGTAGTCTGTAATCGTTTTGGATCACTTAACGATTCAGAGATCTTCAGGTGATGCATCCTTGTTAAGTATCACTGAAGCTGTTATAAGTGCTGAACCCAACCCATGGTAAAATATTGGACGATATCCCCATCATGTTACTGAAGTCTCCTAGCTCAGGATGACAACTTCACTGCCTCATGCATGCAACCCATCCTGTCTGGTGGAATATAACAGGGAAATAATGCAAGTTTTTATTTCCACAGTATAGATGTCATATATAGTGATGCGACAACACCCTGAGGATGTACCCAATTGTTAAAAATTCTTAGTAAAGAATACAATGATTTCCTTTTGGAAGACATTGGAGGGAAGATGAAACACTGACAGCAACAACGATCATCAAGGCCACTGAAGTGACAACACAAGTGGTGATAATGGTGGTGGCAAGAACAACTGGAGTCAAATGACGCATATGATGAATGCAACGACAGGTGGAACCTCGAGCTATAACAAAAAGCAGCAGTGGAATTATAACACGGCAGATGAACGACAAACAAAGGTCGAGGCTATCACTGGGTGTGGCCAACACTGGCATTTACACTAGTTAACCTAAACACAATATAGAAAATATAAACACAAAAGAAGAAAGATTTGCAACCTCTAACATTTTAAGTAAAAAACTGTTTCACAAGTGTGTTTCAGGTTTGGGTAGTTCAGTGGTGGCTTCAACTGCCAAGCGAGGCGAGACATGTTTGTCTCCTTACACCTGTTGTCTCTTTACCTAGCAGTAAACAGGTACCTAAGAGTTGGTTGACTGTTGTAGGTCGCACCATTGAGATAGAGACCTCTGGATCTCAATGGAAATAAGTCACAGAGCTTGACTTTCTCGGGTTATCCTGGAGTTACAAAACTGAAACAAGTTTCCTAAGTTATCAACCAACAACATATATGAGGCTAATATTCAACATTATTATTATAATAATGGGGAAGCGCTAAAGTAGAATTATACAGCGCATGTGGGGGGGGGGATGGAAGGTATTCAGGCTCCATTCAGGGAACCGAAGTACAGATCCTTCCCTAGATCAAGAGCCCCTCACCAGCGTCAAGGAACCTCCCTTGAGGGGCTAATATTCAACAGCACTAACACTCGTGTAACGATTAATGTTTAGGTAATCATAACACTGACAAGAATAAGAGGCTCTATCTTTCAAGGTAATTAGTAAATTAATAAGCTACTTAAAGTTTTGCTGCTTTATATTTATATTTTCACAATCATCTTCAAATGTTACTAAAATCAATACGCTCTTGACAACTTGTGTATACTTTTATCCTTAATTTATAACTTCGCAACATTTGCATTTGTTTTTGTGGCTCAACACCTCCGCGACTCGGTCCCAGACCAGGCCTCCTGGTGGATCAAGGCATGATCAACCAGGCTGTTATTGCTGGCTGCACGTAATCGAAAGTGCAAACCACAGCCGGACTCCCTCTTGAAGGCAGCTAGGAGTTGGTAATCGCTATTATTCATGATAGAAGTCTTTTGAAAAGTCTGTGTAATCTAAAATAGCACTCGAATAATGTATATACATTCTCATAACATCACCAGATGCTGTAAGGATCATCTAAGGGTCAAGCAAAACCAATGATATTGGTCACGGTCTGGTGTACAAGGAGAGGTAACCTTGGTAAACAATGCCAACCTTGAGTGAACTTGACACAAGAGTAACTGCCACAAAGCCAATCATTGTACACGCAACAATAGTTTAACTGACTGCTAAACTGCTGCTTTCAAACCACTGCGGCAGTCTAGTACTTGAGGTGAAGTCTTAATTACTTTTTTTTACATATATAAATTATTACATTCATGGAGAAGCGCTAAACCCACAGGGGTCATATATCGCCTTGGGAATGAGGTAATCCAATTTTACCCAGGGGAAAGCAGCTCAGATTCCTTGGATTAAGAGCCGATCATCATCAAAGCACCCCCTTGAAATGTAAATCATTTAAAGCTACTAATGAATACTTAAAACTTACCAATGTTGTATAACAAAGTTTATCTGCAACACCTGAGGTGAACTTTATTAATTTAAAATATTTTTTACCAATTATTTCAATAATTTAAGCAGTCCTGAATGACACACACTGAGTTGAATGCTTTCTGACTATAATAATACTTAGCTTTCAAAACCTAGTAATATTGCATAACTTGCATAAACAATATGTGGTGATGTTAATTATACGTTTATAAGACGTTCTGACCATAACTGTATCAGGACGTGAACACAACGGAAAAACATGAGTCAAGAATGACAGTATACAGTGGAGGTATACAAAATTAATAGAGCCATGCTGAAATAATACAAAAAAAATTCAAGATCAGAATGTTTTTGTCCCTGTATATCCCATGGGCGGGAGGTGGGACGATCAAGAGTGAAAGTTTATTGTTTAACTCTACCAAAAAGCGTCGCTCGGTTTACAACTAGTTCTTGAAAGGTAGGGAAGCTCCCCACGAATTCCCCATGGCAGCCGTAAGGTATAATAGGGACATGGAATGGTAGAATGGGGTGTGAAATATGAGGTAGATAGGGACAACCACCGCGCCTCATTCATCGATTCAGCTGCAGACGACACCCTGTACGTTTTCTACGGTGCTCCACCCCGTTAGTACCACTATTATAATACTATGTACTTACTGGCAGTCGTTCATGATCTCCTCTTGGGTCCTCACTTGTACCGGAGCGTATTTTTCCACCTGGTCCTCGTAGTTGCAGAAGCATTTGGTTATCTTCTCGTCGAAGGTGTTGACGAGGTCTTCTAACGAGGTCGAGAAGGTATCCTTGAAGGTTTCAGTAGTGTCGGACATGTTATCCAAAAACTCATTGTCGTTCTTCTCTGGGACGCCCGAGGTGGTGTTTGTCGTAGTCGTGTTGCAATTAGGGTCCTGAGAGGACTGAAAGTCTGAAAATTCTGCCCATTCGTCGGTGTCGAACTGAGCCAGAGGCACGGAGACCTCCAGCTCTGCCATCTTGCCCTCACACAACTCCACCATTGCGTCAACTGACAGCTGGACGCGGTCGCGGTGCCGCAAAGCACCACGAGAACTGGCGAGACTCGTGGCGCCACATTTAAATCGCTATGGTGACGGCATTTTTACTGTTCTGGTCATGCCTCTTCCCTTCATGTGGGTACCTTGATGTCGGTGAAGGGCTCTTGACTGAAGTTTCATTGGTAGTGCCTACGGTTCACGGCTAAAAGGCCAGGTTGCCCATGGCTAACCAGCACCATTCTGAAATCCATTGACAAGAAACACCAGTATGAAAAGCAATATAGACAGGGCTTAATACACAAAGATATTCTTAAACACTATTCATCAGCTCTCACCAAAGTAATAAAGAAAGCCAAACAACTATACTACTCCAGTAGATTCACAGACACTAGAGGAGATATAAAAAAGACCTGGAAAACACTCTCTCAGATTCTAGGGACCCACAAACTGAGAAAAACCAAGAATATTGTCCTAACTAAACCGAATGAAACACCACTACATCCCACTGACACAGCTAACAAGATAAACGACTTCTTCTCAACCATAGGATCTAATCTCGCCAGTAAAATCCCACATACCAATGCCCATGCCGGGGACTACCTAGATGCTAGATGGGAATTTCCCTAATTTCTTCTATCTTGCACCAACTGAGCCCATGGAAGTCACCGAGATTATAAAGTCACTTAAAAATAACTCGGGGAATCTGTCTCATGTCCCACCATTACTGTACAAGCGAGCAGCCCATGTCCTTTCGCATGCTATTTCATTACTTTTTAACAAGTCACTAGAGACTAGCACCTTCCCGAAACTACTCAAGATGGCAAGGGTTACACCAATACATAAAGGTGGTGACCCTACAGACTTAAACAACTATAGGCCAATATCTAACTTACCATTGCTATCCAAAATCTTTGAGAAACTCGTGCACAGGAGACTGTATTCATTTATAACGGCTCAAAACATACTCAACCCCCTGCCAATTTGGATTCAGGAAAAATAAAAGCACTAATGATGCAACCATAAAAATGCTAGATCTGCTGTACACAGCATTGGAAAATAAGGAATATCCACTAGGAATTTTTATTGACCTAAGAAAAGCTTTTGACACAGTAGACCACGACATCCTACTCCACAAACTTGAACATTACGGTATAAGAGGCCATGCACTTGCTTATTTCAAATCTTACATTACTAATAGGTATCAGTATGTCACCATTAAAGACACAGCATCAGCAACACGGCCAATTGATACTGGAGTTCCGCAGGGAAGTGTCCTTGGTCCCCTGCTCTTCCTCATATACATCAATGACCTTCCAAACGTATCCCAACACCTGAAACCCATTCTCTTTGCTGACGACACGACTTATGTCATCTCTCACCCTAATCTAGCCACCCTCAACACCATTGTGAATGAGGAGCTGATTAAAATATCGACTTGGATGACAGCCAATAAACTTACGCTTAACACTGGCAAAACCTACTATATTATGTTTGGTAGCAGAGCAGGAGATGCACAAATTAACATTAAGATTGACAACACGCTAATTACCAGAAATAATGGGGCAAATTCCTAGGCTTATATACCTTGACAACAACCTGAATTTCAGCACCCATATCCAGCATTATAACCAAAAAGGAGGATTCCAAAATCGGTTTGCGGGAATCCTCTCCAAGATTCGATACTACGTGCCGCAAAATTTTGCCTTCTCACACTATACCACTCACTTATTTATCCATACCCACCTATGCTATTTGTGCTTGGGGATCAACTGCAGCAACACACCTAAAAGCCAATATAACCCAACAAAAAGCTGCAGTAAGAATAATCACTAAAATCCCATCCTGGCAACACCCCCCCCCCACTCTTCATTAGACCTAAACGTACTCCTGTTCTGTACATCCACATTACTACTGTGCCCATCTACATCTACAGGGGCCTTAAACTCTAATATCTAAAACTTGACCTAAACGCTTTCTTGATAGTTGTGACAGAACCACAGGCATAACACCAGACACAACATCTCTACGACATTTCCCCGTGTCCGACCTCTAAAACCTTTACAAAAAATTCTATGTATGTCAAAGGCCCTAATATCTGGAATACCCTACCTGAGAACTCTAAAACTGCAGACACATTCATCCCTTTCAAAACTACCATTAGAAAAAAACAATCGTTTCTCCCTGATACACCCCGTCAACTAACTACACGAATACCACCTGGGTGGTTCACACTTACATCTCTCACTCTTTGACCATAAACAGAAATATAATCTCAATCTTAAATAATGAATCCTGTGATACTCCAATTACTGAGACTGTGTACTGTGCCAAACAAAAGCATTCACCATTGCTAAACTCACAAATGTATTTAGTCACTAGCATTAATACCAACTTTACTCATATTTGTTATATTTTACAATTAAGAATATAAAACTTAAGTCCTGCCGAAAATGCCTAGCCATGCTAAGCGTTTTCTTAGTGGGCTTACACTCTGTAATCACTATTTTACAACATGTAAACCACACAATAACCAAATTTCTGTAAAATCAACATTGTAATCCTTATAGAGAATAAACTTTGAATTTGAATTTGAATTTGAATTTGAGTTGGTTCCAAATCGGTGTGGCACGTAGCTCTGAAGGACCAGAGTTAGAGCTCAGTATAAATGAAAACGTTAGACATTTTCCCATATACTTGCTACCCTTGTTCATGTAACAGTAAGTAGGTATCTGGGATGCTCGCAGAAAGTTGATATAAGTCAGATAAAATCCTCGAGACGCTGAGAATGTTTCCTGCGCTCGCTGCCCTTATTCACCTAGCAGTGGGTACCTGGATGGTAAATAATTGTTGCGGGTTATATCCTCTTCTTTCTGTTTCCACAAGTAGTTCTCTTAGTTTGGATATTTGGATATGGCAACAGGAAGTTACCCATCCTTATGGAAACTGGTCTAGACATAACCGGTGTCCGAGGGCCTTCCAGAGACAAGGTGCTAAGGAATTATCACTTCCATGTCTGCCACGAAAAACATTTTTCAAGGAATGCTAGAGATATGGGAGGTTACGAATCCCAGCGTCAACTTTGACTAACACCAAAGACAAATTTCTGAAAATGGTCCACGAATATAACAAGTTCATATAGACGCGTGGTGGAGACTGAGACCTGTCACACTCAAGAAGCCATGTTCGTGGAATTTTTTTAATGAAAATAATAAAAAGGCACAATACCGTGACTGGAACAATACACAAATAATTCGTACATAGAAGAATGAAACTTATGACGACATTTCGGTCCGACTTGAACCATTAAGTAGTAACACAACTGTGACTAGTTAATTAATATTCTAAGTCGAACCGAAACACAGCCATAAGTTCATTATCCTATGTGCGGGTTATTTATGCATCTTTTCAGTGTGGTTTACAATGATGTGATGATGATGATCATGTCAAAATAAATAAAAGAGCATAAGCCCTTCCTAGTGTGCCAGAGGGAAGATCAAACATCTTCCATGGATAAGATTGATGTTATACTCACCAAAGTCAACGCGAAAAAAAGGAAGCAATAAGATATAAAGAAGCTGCGACAAGAGAAGAATGACATGTTCTTTGAAGTCACTGATTTCTCACAGTGGCCATTATCTTCCTCCTCAGAAACGGACACAGGAAAGAGTAACGTCCACGTTTTCAAGTACCACCTGTGTTATGTGTCCGAGAAAGTGGTCAATCTTGTCTATTGTTAATAACAGGGTTGGAGAAGAGAAAACTAGTGGTAGGGGTCAGGTGGTAAGCTGCGAGAGGGATGTATTAGAAGTACAAGACATGATGTAATTTCAGATCGTCCTTACCTCAGCCTTAAGATGCGTTTAATCCATCAGCTTTGATGAAGTATATATAATGGTGCGAGGCAGATGACATGTAGCAAGGTGGTGGTAGTAGTAGTAGCAATATTAGAAGTAGTAATACAACTATTGGTGAGAGTGGTAGGGTTTGGGAAGGACTTACCATCATTAGCCACTTCTGGCAAATATGGAGAGACTTTGTAAATAATCTGGAGATCATCGAAGACCTTAACATAAGCAACCATATATGTCATTACATGACGGTACGATAATAAGTATAATACAGCAGATTACAATAAACTTAGGGAAGACTTAGCTAGTGTAGAATGGAATCAATTTATCTGCAGGTTTATTGAAGAATTTACACATACTAACGAAGAGATATGACAGTATGGTAAATTTCTAAATATTGTAAAAGCTGCACAAATAACAAATACAAAATTATTAGATCACCTAAAAATGATCCTAAATGGATAAATGAGAAACTGAAACATCCTTAGGAGAGTAAAAAAAATATAGGTCATCAGCAGAAGAGATGGTCACATTACGAACTAAAATCTTTATATAAAGAGACAAGAAACGTCAAAAGAGAATAAGACATTAAAGTTGAAAAGAAATCAAAGACAACTCCAGACAGTTTCTTCCAAGAATATGGAAGGAAGATTAGAGAAAAGTTGGGTTCACTTAAAACTAACTCTGGACACTTTACTAATAATGAGAAAGAAATGTGAAGGATTTTAACAAAGAGGGAGAAAATTACTTGTCATGTGAAGGAAGCGTACAAGTCATGTGAAGGAGGAGGTACTAGTCACGTGAAGGAGGAGGTACTAGTCACGTGAAGGAGGAGGTACTAGGCATATGAAGGAGGTGGTACTAGGCATGTGAAGGAGGAGGTACTAGTCATGTGAAGGAAGCGTACAAGTCATGTGAAGGAGGAGGTACTAGGCATGTGAAGGAGGGGGTACAAGTCATGTGAAGGAGGGGGGTACAAGTCATGTGAAGGAGGAGGTACTAGTCACGTGAAGGAGGAGGTACTAGGCATGTGAAGGAGGGGGTACAAGTCATGTGAAGGAGGGGGTACAAGTCATTGAAGGAGGAGGTACTAGTCACGTGAAGGAGGAGGTACTAGGCATGTGAAGGAGGGGGTACAAGTCATGTGAAGGAGGGGGTACAAGTCATGTGAAGGAGGTACT